CAGCTCAGGGCAGGGCCAGCAGGGTCTGCTCAGGGTGATCTCAGCTCAGGGCAGGGCCAGCAGGGTCTGCTCAGGGTGATCTCAGCTCAGCCCAGGGTGGTCCCAGCCCAGCCCAGGGTGGTCCCAGCTGCACGGGGCTGAGCAGAGCTGCTCCCAGCAGCAGCATGCCCAGCTCTGGGGACACTGAGAGCAGCAGGGGGACAGGGCCACACTGCTCCTGTCACACACAGCCCCACTGCCCTGCTCGGGAGGGGACACACATCAGCACCGTGTGCAGGGATCTGCTCCCAGAGCAACAGAGCAGCCCCTGCCCAGCCCCAGCTCCATGGGGCAAGCAGGGGACGGGGGGGCAGCAGGGGACAGGGGGGTTAGTAGGTGACCAAGGGATGTCAGTAGGTGGCTGAGGGATGGTCAATAGGGGATGAGGGGCATCAGTAGGTGACAGGGGGATGTCAGTAGGTGACCAAGGGATGTCAGCAGGTGACAGGGGTATCAGCAGGTGACGGGGGAATGTCAGTAGGTGGGTGACAGGGGTGTCAGCAGGGACAGGGGTGCCAGCAGGAGACAGGGGGATGTCAGTAGGTGGGTGACAGGGGTGTCAGCAGGGACAGGGGTGCCAGCAGGGCACAGCGTGGCCGGCCGTGTCTCACCGTTGAAGTTGACGCTGCGGATGTACTTGAGCAGCCTCTTGCCGCCGGCGCGCTCCATCTCGGGGCACAGCCCGGCGCTCTCGGCGCACAGGTCGCGGTTCATGTGGTGCAGGGCGTGGGCCATGGCGTACACGGCATCGATCACGAACTGCACCTTCCCCTCCTGCTCGTAGTGCGAGTCCTTCCCGATGCGCTCCTGCCCTGCGGGGACACGGCGACACTCAGGGACACGGCGCAGCGCTGGCCCCGGGAGCCGCGCCGCGCTCGGAGCGTAAAACCCGCTGGGCTGCGGGTTATTGACTCCAACACGGCCGAGCCTCCGTCCCTGTGCCCGAATCACCGACCCGCAGCGACCCAGAGAAACAAACCCTGCCCCGCTCCCCGACACGAGCCCCGATTCCGCAGGGAGCGGCTCGGAGCCGGCCCCGAG